TTCAGAAGTCAAACAACAAAAATCAGCGTTAATTTACAAAGTTTTCACAGGACTAGTTTCGATGGTTTTACCGAACCATCATCTTCAGCTGCAAAACCGCAATTTGTACCGCAAAACTTTGTAAATTAACGCTGATTTTTGTTGTTTGACTTCTGAATTAGTAAATGTGAGAGAGTTAAGTTAGAAAACATTCTCATCAAGAATTTTAAAACTTGTTTCAATAGATATTTGCGGTAAAGATTTAGGTACATTATCGATAGATTTTTGAGCTAAGAACTAAGCTGTCATATTAATTTCATCATTTCACAAGCATTTCTGAATAAATAATTTTAAACAAGTCCGCTTTTTTCCTTATAATTTGAATTGTTTCTTTCAAATTTCACAGTATTATACAACATTCATTGCATTGCTAAGTATCATATTAGTTAATTATTTATTTATTATTATTATTGACTGGATGTATTCTCAGAAATAAATTAAAAAGGAAAAGAAAATATACTAAATGAAAGAAAAATTAAAATGCAAATAAAGCGTCGGAAAGAAAAAATATTTTCCACTTAAATATATTCACTGCCAAGTTGTAGTTATTCGCGAAACTTTTAAAAAAAGAAGTATAATTATTTATTGAAGATTTCATTTGCATTTTTTTACTTACATTCAAACGCCTAAGTGACGTCAGATGTGCAATAGAAAAATTGCAGACAGACATAAATAATTCCTAGGATTATGAAATAATCTTTCTCAGTTGACTGTAGTAAAGCCTAAGAAATTTTAAAATTAATTTTGCGTAATCATATCCACAAGACGGTTAAAAAATCTGGTTTAATTTTGCAATACTTTTTTATCCTTTTTTGCTAGGAGGAGAGCAAATGAAGTAAAACTAGCTATTTAAGGAAAAAAATTCTGGCAACAGTATTCTTCCTTGCTAATTCTTGATTATAACAAAACACTTTCATTGACAAAGGATTATGTCTTCTCGGAATGCTTATTATTCTGACTGTTGCTGATAACATATTAAAGCATTAAATATTCAGTCTTGTAATTCCTTGGCAAGATAATGGGTTTGAGTGGATTAGTTCGTAAAAATATGAATGACTTTTTATTTCATCTTGCATATGTAATGTTAAGCAAATTAATTAAGTTATCTCTTCACTTGATCACTATAGTGGTTGCTCTTCTTGATACCAGAGAAACAGATTGAATCAGTTAAGTAGAACTAATGAAATTAATAAATTATTCCAATGAAATAAAGATAGAATTATGATTAGTTATAACTAGTATTCCTGCATTACTAACGATGCAATTGCAAAAACAGGAAGCATAATTATAAGTAACTCTCTATTCAAGACAAATTATTTAGACTAAAAATGTAAAGAACTTAAATAAATTACTCGATTATGGCAGAGTATATGAGGATTCGATCACAACTTTGATAGAGCATTCTTGGAGAAGGAATTCATCTCTTTCCGTATTATCAAGTTTTCGGAAAGTCTTTCTGATACAAATATTCTTATCTTATGTGGAATTCGCACTTGGGCCCACTGGCGTTGGAACAGCTTCCATCAATTATGGGGAATAAATTCCATCGACTCGATCAGCATGAAATGGGTAAATTTAACAAAACACTTTCCTTGACAAGAGTCTGTTTAACATTATGTGTAAAGTAGATTAAATCATGAATATAAAGATACAGATCATTCTTATAACGAGACGTGGTCTTCATGGCTGAGTCATCGATGCCTAGCAGATCTGCAGTTTTTAATGCGACTGGTGTTAGAGTTGATCTTATTTTTTAGTATGCGTACATGTCATTTCCACCTCTGCTGAATATCTGATGTCCTAAAAGAATTTATTGCAATGAACGAACTTTCTCTGCCCACATGGTATATTGTTTTGGGAGGTTGAAGCCAAGCCCGCAAGTTTGGCTTCGAATCGACTGGAATAAAGAACGAGCGCTTTGTGATTGTGACGTATATGTCAGATGGTAACAATTAAATTCCATTCATCCGAAAATTACTCTCTTCGATTGAGACAGGAGAATAAAAATGCAAATTATTGCATTCCATTCCCTCACAGTACTGTCGATAAAAAATGGAACTTATAACAGATTTTATGTTTTTCCATAACTGATAGCAGGTGAATGATGATTTTTTTTTATTTAAGTAATTTGTTTCGTTGTAAAGAACAGTAAACTGTCTTCAAATACTTTGTTGCATGTTGCACAGGTCATATACCAAGAGATATTTCATATTGTTTGTACTCAAATACATCTTTCGACTAAAAGCCGTGGGTCAAGACAGCATTAAGAACAAAAATTCTCAAGAGAGAGTTAAGTTAAACTAGAAGAGAAACACGCTAATGTGACAATCAAAATCGTAAAAAACAACCTTGTATTTAGCGTAGGTATAATGAAACACTCAATCGATTTCGAGGGCAGCTAAAGGTCCCTCCTCATCAGGAGAAAGAAATACATAGAAAGAAGAAAATAGGAGAAGGAGTCACAGAAACACGTGGTCCTTATCAGCACTGCACGTGGTTATAACTAGATTTTTAATCAGAGTTGCACTGGCCGCCTACTTTTACTGAGCCAGGCTATCTGATCAAGCATAAAGAAATATTAGCGAAGTTAAAATAGGGAGCGAGTGCTGATAAGGACCACGTGTTTCTGTGACTCCTTCTCCTATTTTCTTCTTTCTATGTATTTCTTTCTCCTGATGAGGAGGGACCTTTAGCTGCCCTCGAAATCGATTGAGTGTTTCATTATACCTACGCTAAATACAAGGTTGTTTTTTACGAGAGAGTCAAGTTGCTTGATGTTTGAAGAATGCTGGTTTCAGCTTGCAGATGATTAAGCCAAAACAGTATTACTCCTGGTAACTATAGAATTTAATTTGTGAATATTTTAACGGCTTTAGAACACTTGCATTGAGACTCCATTATGTAACTTTTTATTCTATCAGTTGAAACAATTAAATATTAGCCAATCCACATATTAAAATAACTTCATAGGTGATCATTTGTTGGTGAATATAATGAATTTACTTCATTAAATGCTTACTCTTTAAATTTTGCCATCTGTTTATAGTTTATGAAGACAGAACTAAAATATGAATGAAATAATTATTCCTAATGTCGTATTCTAATATCAAATATTCCACATATTTAAATAATTAATGCATTCGAGGATGGGAATTATCTCATCATGATAATGTAGTGAACCATCTCGTGGCAACTACTTCTGTAGGATGTCCGTCTGTTAAAGTGTCGAGAGACTAATACTTCTAAGATCATAAACCTGCGTACTCTATGTTCATAAGTATTCACTTCTCTAAGGCGATCATCTTCAAAAAACACCGTAGTAATTCACTGTACTTTAAGAGATTGATATAAATTCTATAATATAATATAATATAATCTATAAATAACTAGTTTTATGTAGATAACAACTCAGGGATAAAATATCTAGAAAAATAATACATCGGAACAGACAATGAACAATTCAAATTTATGCCCATGCGGACAATTACTTTTTTGTGTGTTCTTGAAAAGTATCAATCTGTATACATATTTTTCTTTTGTGGAAATATTTTTATTTCAATAAAATTCGGAAAGTTGAGAGAATTAACCCATTTGAAATTTTGAAATGTACTTTGACTTCCATGATGTTTTATTATTTAACTGCAAGACGTGTTTTAAACAACAAAAAAAAAAACATACTTTCATACATTAGTTACATACAATTAAGTGCTTACAGTTGACTATAAAAATTGATAGGTTTTTCAATTATGAGTCGGTTTCATCTGCTTTCTGCTTGTGCTTGCATTTATATTAAGCTCTTACGAATATCCACATAGAAACATGTATCAATGTATTTTGAATATCAAATTTTTCAAATTTACTGATGTTGGAAAATTTATCTTTTTTTTTTTTTTTTTTTTCAAATGAATTTGGTTTGCCAAAAGTTCGGTAAAAATGACCAAACGATATTCGGAATTTTCCGTTTTGCTATAATAAAAAGCGTTCAGCACCGAAAGAAATTATTAGATTAAAAAAATATTAGATTAAATGAACAACGACGAACTGGAACTACTTAGAAATTTCGGTATCCCATTTTATCTTTCGGGATTCATTTGATAAATCTCTGGGATTTTTGTCTTTTAGTTAAATTGAAATTTATGAGTATACAACTGCAAGGTGATCGGCGTTTTGTTGTCTCAAAAGTCATTTCAAACTCTCTTTAGCAGCACAAAAAGAAAAAAATCTGAAATCTTTCAGATTTTACATTACGCCCAAAGGGGAAGTTTTTTTCATTTACATACATCTCTTGAGAGCATTTGGGCTAATGTTCCTTTGGACTAATAATATTTAAAAACAGCCTATCTTCAGAATTCTCGACAGACAGTCTCGAGCGCTGGAGAAAAATATATTTTCTCCCGTATAGTGTTGCCACTGCTCGCTTTGAAATCATTGAGTTTGTTAATCAAAAATTCGTTAAAGTTTTCACAAAATATGAAATACACAATAAAACAAATTGTAAATTCAATATTCGGGCTTCCAGGTGTCCACATTTGGGTGGAGGAGTGCGATATTCAAAATCTGATGGCTCTAGGTACCGTTGTTTTTTCACAATACGAAAAACATGGATACATTCATGCAAATTCTTCATCGTCTATACTGTTAAGAATTTTGTATATATGAAAATCATTTTAGTGAAATCATGTGAAACTGATTTTTATAATGTAATATGAATTGCTAGAAAGAAACGAAGCAAACAACAAAAATCAGAGAAAAAAACAAATATACCTACAAAATTTTGTAGGTATAACGCTGATTTTTGTTGTTTGACTTCTGAATTAGTTAAAATTTTATTCATTTAAAAATTGTTTTTGATATATTTTTAGTGTAATAAATTTCAAAAACTCATCTTGAAATGTTTTATTTTACATTTAATGTAAATGAATATTGGTATGTTCTAAAAATACTTTTTCTTTCTTTTTCAGATGCCTCCCTCTACGCTCACTATGTGTTCAAAGCTTGTGATCAGCAGAACAATGGTACAATTAACTTTCAGGTTAATACGACTGTTTTTAACTCGACTTTATTTCTCCTATCATAGATCTATTTTTAAAATCTTTCTTGCAACTTTAAGTCTGTTTTAATGATGATTTTGAAAAATGTGAAATATTATAAGCTTACGATAAACAGATTACATCGCTTTATGTAAATTACATTCTATTAATTTTAAAATTAATTCTCGCAGTCAGCTTTCATATGACATATTTTTTAATATTTTACCTAAGCAATAAAACTGCTTTTGAAATAATCTTAAATAAAGCATATTCATTGATGCAATACAAAATTCAATAAAATGAGAGATATTCAAATTCTTTTTTGGCATCTCCATTTCTATTAGAATAATCGTTGAATAAACAAAATAAGGATAGTATGACAAAAAAAAAAAAAAAAAAGAATTGTTAGCCGATGAAAGTCAATGTATTGCCAATAATTCGTTAAATAATAGATGAATATAAAATATAAGCTATTCTTGCTATGCTTTATATTTAGAAAAATAAATGAATTAATTTCATGTAATTATTATATGACTCGAATAGAAGACGGTCTCATATGTGAGATCGCTTTACACTTTTGAACGTATTTTATTAGTGAAATAAATATATCATATGCTTCACAGCATCCCAAATATCATTTTATGTCACATGAAAGGGAATTTAATATCTAATTTAGGGTAAAAATAAGTAAATAATGTGCATGAGAAACAGTAAATAAGATGTATGAGACGGTTCAGCGACAATCTCCCATAGATGACCTATCTCCTTGGCGTCTAAACTGGGAAGAAATTATGTTGATCATGAAAAGGGAATTTATATTTTACTTAAATGTGAAAGATAAACTACATAATATCTGAATAATATCAAAAAGGTCGATTTTGCGAAAAATTACAATGAACTTTAAAACATATTTTACTTATAATCATCTAACCTGATAAAAAACCTTCAATTCGTATACTTTGAGGAATAGATGTTGCTATGACTAATTTTATTTTCTTAATTGCTGTTTCGTTTAAAAATCTTGTGAAAACATTTGCGATAACTGGCAGTTTTACAATGGCAATTGTAGGGTACTACTGTAACTAGTAGTAACATCGGCAAAGACACATATGTTTTCATCGTGCATATGCTTAAATATCCACATATACAATAGGTAAGATTTTATGTATTATACTATGAATGTTGTTTTGCAAAAATTTGCTGCACATTTATTGAAATGAATTCTGCAAATCTGCTTTCATTGTTCAATCCAAGCGTTGGCAAACATTTTTGGCTGCGGGTCAAAATCAGCTAAAATGTTTAAATTAAGAAGACGTTTCGGGTCAGTGGCATTTTCCCTTTAAAACGGTCCTTTTTGGGTAAATAGCAAAGTGAATTTTATTGAAAAAATAATTACAATACGCTTTAAACTTCATACGTGAAAAATAATGTTTATAATTATAAAATGACAAACAAACATAACTGACTAAACTTTATTTTTCTTTTCGGTGTCAATGGCCAACCTAATGCTGAAATTGTGACGTCAATTTAGTCGAGTCTGACTTATAGTAAGCATCTGAATTTTCGGTATCTGATCTTGTTTTCACTTAATTATAAGTTTCATGTGTGAAAATTTTTGTTCACATTTACAAGTTGAACCCATTGCGAACTTAATGACAAAGCCAGTTTTTTGGAATTATCGATTACGGATCTTAGTTGCCAAATTTATCGATTTCTGCTTGAAATTATGTTACAATTTTTAAAGATGTATGTTCGTCACTGCAACTTAAAATTAAACAAAAATATCACTGTTATTATCCATTTTTTGTTTATTTTTTATGTATTCTTCAAGTGTTTGTTTCATATTTGTTTCATAATTTCTTTTTTTGATATTATAATTTATTTTCGGAACTCAGATGGGTCACTTGAAATTATAAAAAGGGTCACTCTGATTCACGGGTCATAAGTTGTCGAGTTCTGGTTTAATCGTAAGATGTTCTTTTATTTGAGTAGCAATAAGGTGGAGACTGCTAAAATGTAGCAGTAGTTGAAGGTCCTTTTCTTACCAGTAACCTTTCTAAAATAATATCTAATTAACTACAGCCATATCGTTTAAGCAGATGGTAATTACAGTGTTTCATTATTTAATTAATTCTGTCTTCGAGGGTATTTTAAGCTACACTAATTGAAGATTTAACTTTAAGTTCGATTATAGTTTATGGACACACCGATCGGTTTAGTGGTTTTTGCTAATTGCTGATGCATTGTTTGCTGGGTGCGGGTTCAAATCCCGAAGAAGGCGTACATGTCTGTAAGTACCGGGTGATCATAATTGTAACAAAATTAAATTGAAACATAATTGACGAAATAAATTGAAAATAATTTATATCGAATATTGTTTTGTTCAAGGAATTTAATTTGTTCTAATCTTTTCAAACGGCAACGGGAAACTTGTTTGTTTACAGACAAAATGACGTCATGCAGTGAAAAAGCAATGGAGTTCTCTGTTTATGGGAAACAAACTCTCCAAAAGCAGTTTAGAGGCGATTTGGATATGGGGCGTGCTAGGATGCTGTACATCAAAACTGGCACGAAGCTGGGCAAAGGCAAAGCAGTTCTGTCACCTATATGAGGGTGCACAAGGATCATGTCAACGAAAGACGCAGTTTTAGACATGGCACTTCTTGCCATGACAAATCCATGGACTTGTTCTCATTAGGTCGGTCAACTGAAATCAGCTACAACACGATAATTTTAAGAGATTAAAAATTTTAGAAACGTACAGTTTCAGATGGATTTATTTAGATCTCAAGTTGATGGCAATTTCATTTCAGCAAAAATATGTTGAAGTTGAACACTTCTTGATTATCAGATTTCCATATCAACATGATCACTCTGTTGTTTAAAAAAATCATCTCGAATCTTAGAGATTATTCGTGTTATGTTTGGAAAATCTCAGGAGATTATGAAATGTATTTATTTGACAATAATAATTAGAAGACAATACTTAATTGATACATTTAAAACGATTACCGAATGTTGCCATCTATAGGTAACTTTAGAATAAAAAATAATAATTTGCAAGCTTTTAAAGTAATAGAAAATTCTAAAATCGTGATATTCATTGATTTTTAAAAATATAATTAATAATGTAACTTTGTGGTCTTCTGCTTCAACAGCCCTATCACTTAATCAATACCAGGTTTCAGTAAAAGATTTTTGGCTGCTCCCGGTTCGGTTTGGTTTATTTGATTTATTTGTTTATTTGATTATTAAAGCGCTAAAGGGCTATCTGCCTACAGGAAACGATGCCTCCGTCTAGGACTTTCTATGGGAAACTGGCTCATATACATGTTGCACATAGGGAAAACTACGAAAACACCCGCTCACGGGATTCGAACCGAACTATCAGTGTTCAGCGACTTAACTTTTCGGCCGATGGTGGGCCTTGCTGCTGCCGTAAGGATAGGATAGTAGAATTGTAAAATGTCGAAAGAATCTAAAAGAAGCAAAAGGAAAAGAAAACAACTAAAAGAAAATGAATAGAATTAGTAATAATCAATAAAAAAATGCAAAAAATTCTTATCTCCTGTAATTACTTGATAATTAAAACAAATGTATCTAAAACCATATGCGTGGCAATATATTTCAGTTTTAATATGCTCCTATTATTAAAAATGGGTAAAAAACTTTACTTTATTATCTTTATGGATGTTATTTAAATTTCGAAATGTAGCATATATTTAGCTTTTATAACTTTATTACTTTTCTTTTAAGTATATTCACTAACGTTTGCGTTAAAAAACAACGACAAAAATGAGTGCTTAATTATTCTAGGTTTAAAAAATGGTACACATTTTTTTTAAGAAATGGAATATTTTTCTTCTCGGCTTTGGGGAGAAAGTAAAATTGATTTGTGTGTGCTAATAAAAATTAAGGCGTGAATTTAAATTACTGAGAGATCGTAAAATCTAATATCTACTACTTACTGAGAGTTTCGCAAGTTTCATAAATTTTATAATATTTTCCATTTAAATATATATATTTGGATTTACTCTGATGCTAAAATAAAATGTTTTCTGATAAATAAATTACGTATATTATAAAGGCACTAAATAAGCAGCAATTTCACACTATAATCGCAAATCTCTAATTTTCGATATAAAATTTTTATGATCTTCATTTAATTTAAGTGTTTTTAGAATTCAAAGAAATCTTAATTAAATAAATTGTAGAGACATTAGGATTTTTTTAAAGCCAGAGAGATAAAAAATGAGCAAACACCTTCGCCGGGAATCGAACCACGGACCTCAGCTCAGCGTGCAGAACCGCTACACCACGAAGGCACGCTAGGAAGGCGGGAGAAATACAATATAAAATGAACTATTTATATTACATATGTTAATTGTTTAAAATTCTTATGATATTATTAAAATAATTTTCAAGTTGTTTTTCTTTTTAATGTAAATGTTGCTAAAAAGTTATTTTTAATGGATGCTTAAAAATATGAATACTGAGCAAACGCATTCTAGCTGAATATTTTAACTCCTCTGAAACTTTTATAACTCAGATTATTCGTTTCTTTATCATCAGTAATTTTGCTTCTTATAGAAGAAAGAACTTGCACCTGTCTTCCTCGAAAAGCAGAGAACTTTTGTATAAACGAGAGTCAATCTAAATTTGAAGTTTGTCAGAATTTAAATACAAAATTAACTTGTTCCTCTTCTATATATGCTAGTAGCGTGTTATTCCAAAATACCTCATTCATCAATAATATATATATATATATATATACCGCATTGTATTTAAGTGAAACTCATTTTACAAAGCATCAAGAGAAACACTTTGCATGGAGAAAAACCGTTAATCAATATGCAATTTCCATATTTCTCCAACAGTTAATTTCAGATTAGTTCATGCAACAAGTTCTTTCAGGGCAAGTGGTAATATTTTTTCACTTCCATGGAAACTGAAGAATGGTCTATTTTGTACAGTAGAACGTATTATCGATTTGCGATAATTG